ATCTTACTGGAGTTATTACGTATTTTAGACAAATGATCAAAAACACTTGAATTATGATAAAACTGTATTGTTTAATTTAGCTTTGTTTTAATTTCTACTAGCAATACAAGTTTTATAGCTAAATCTATGTGTTTTTCGAGCGATCTCATATTGTAGCACTGGTATAGTTGATCATAGCTTTTTGTTTATTGTATCGCAATTGTTATCAAGCATCTAATATTATCTTAATGGTTGAAATAGTTGTTGTAACAGATATCACCAGGGGATTTTTGAAAAAAAATTTGCGTAATAGAGATTCCAGAAAAGGTTAAGATTCTTTTGTCTGAAGATTCAAACTCTGAGAACAAATATATGACTGTAGTACCCATCGATCAATTTTGTAGACAGTATCGAATTCTTACAGGCATCTCAGCGTTTAGCTTTTAAATAAGAAATTCGAACTTTTTCCGCAACCTTTCTCGAGCAAACTTTTCCTGCTTCTTTTCTGTGATCATTCTCAAACTATTTCAAATCTCTTTCGGCACCAAATCAAATTCTTCAAGTAAAATGTTTAAGTCCACTATGGGTGCGAAGTCTGAAATGTATGAGGAGATATATGTTGAATTTAACATATTGTCATGGATAAATTTGGAAAATAACTAGACTTATATGTGACAATTTGTTCAGCTTCATTAGCGTTCACTCTGATGGCTGACTAAGTTTTTATTAATACACATGATTGACTACAAATGTGATAAAATGTTTTGACAACTGATATGTTTTGTGCATAAAATATTCTCTTATTTATGGAATATTCACATATGTTCGATGATAGTTCAATACTATCCTTTTACTCCATAATGAGATTTACAGTTCATTTATTTCATTCAATCGATGATCTGTCGTACGTTTGGTTCAGCAAAGAAAAGGGCAGAAAGCAAATTTGGCACTGTATATATACTGTTGTTAGAGTAGTATTTCAGTAGTAAAACTTTTCAGAAAACGACCGATACGATGCGTATCTATTATTGGACCCAAATAACAATGTTACTATTCAACACAGCATAAAAATATTCTCCGTCTACTTCAGAACTAATTTTCAGTGCGTCCATCTAAAGCATGGTTTATGATAAATTTTATTACTGTTAACTAATTTTCTATGAAATAAACCGTTTTCACTCATATACAACATTTACTGTTACCGAAAAATTAGCATGGGATAAATTACTAAAGCTTAGAATTGATGATATCGTTATAGTTCTAATCTAACTGGTATATGTATTTATATACGATATATACGCATTCAATGCAAAATGATACTAAAATGATGCTTTTTCTCTATCTGTATTGCACGTACGAAACAACATCTTGATTTCTTGTTATTATATTTGTGTTTTCTGTATCAGCTTAATAGATGTGTAGGAGGCATATGACGCACTAAAACAACTAATGTATCATTCGTTTCTCCATAAAACACAATGCACGTTTTACTTTAAATTAAATTATTAGATCATCAGAAATAAAGCAGATATTCTACATAAGTGTCGATACAGTACAATTTGATGACAAAATATGTACAATGGAAATAAATGATTACAATAATCGTGTTGAAATAATGAACAAATTTAAAAGTAGAAGTTATAGTTTTAGAAAACATAAAAATGTCAGTACAATTTGTAATAAAAACAACCTCAGCCTGAAAAAGGGCGTATAAATCCGTTAGATGATTTCTAACAAATAATTAGAAGAACGCAGTGTTTCCATATTGTCAATTTAGTCAATTCATACTTGCTGTACGATCAGACAAAAGTATATTGTATATCCCGAGCAGCGACAAAAATTTGTCTGATGGGTTTGGCGACTGGTTGAAAATCTCGTACTAAACCTGCTCGAGGGATAAAATTCGTTAAATAACTGGTCGGGTCATATTTTATAGTTAAAGTACCGATGTATCATAGCTATGCTTATAATTTTATGCTGGATTTAGAACTAATTCATGTTTTAAATAATTAGTTAGGAGGACACCAGATAGGACCATTTATTCACCTATGATGTTTTTGTATTACGTTTACGTAGAAATGTGGAGTAAAGTGCCATGCAATTAAAAAGCATAATTTATTTTCTGTCTAAATACTTCTTGACTATGAAAATTTATCTTTTCTCTGAAAACGACTTTTTAGCAATCTGTAGGACATGAAAGCAAAGCGGAAAAAACTGTTTCAAAGGAAAAGATGGATAAATTCGGAGTTTTATGTTATCATAATCTAAAAATTTTAAATGGTTTAATTGTATTTTCAGCAATATATGAATTCTTTACTTTTATACGTTCATAATCAAAAATAAAGTATTTTCTTCTCAACTTTTTCTTACGTTTGGGGGGAGGGAGAGAAATAAACAAGATTCAGTGTGGTCGATAACATATGTTTCTATTAACTTTCAAGATTGTTCGAAAGAGTCTTGCTATATTGGCAAGCATAGGACATGTGAAAGGCAACTCGATTTGAGCATATATAATAGGAAAGACAAGTAGACAAAACTTATAAATATGTCGATAATCACAAAGTATCTAGATTATGCAGTTCTAATAGTAGATGATCTTGGTTTTGTTGACAAAATCAAAAATGAATTAGACGTATCTGAATTAATGATGTCATGTCCACATTGTACGCACAACTTCAAGAACAATTTTCTCAGCCAAGGAACGCCTCGACAGAAAACTATAGGCGAATATGTGAAATATATTCTATAATGGAGGCTCCATTTCTACATAAAAAATGAATACAAAAATAACGTGAGCAAAAAATAGTCATATCTCATCCATTTATACCACTGCTCCTATTTTGTATGAAACACATGGTGCAGTTAGACAGACACTAAATGTACGATGAAAATAATTGAAAAAGGTCGCTTTCCAACATTAAACTATAGAAGAACTGCTACTGATACAGAGTTATATAGAAATCAAACGTTGGAAATTATTCTCATTTTTGTTAATTAATAACTTCATATAATATAATAGTACATAATTTCAAAAATTCAAGTACATTCATATACAAATGTGGAATAACAAAATCATCAGTAATAAAGTAATTAGTCGACAGATGTTTGGATATAATGTTAACAACGTTTTAATCAAAGGGTAAACAAATATCACCGTTGTACAAATTGTTATTTTTATTAGAGAATAATAATAATAAAATATTTACGTGACTGTATACTATGTACTTCACTTAACAATAAGTGTGATATGTAAATGACATAACAAGAGATCGTTCCCATTCATCATTTTCGCTGCTTGAGACAACAAAACGTTTTTTGATTACGCAGACTCCCACGCTTCATTACTCTTAGCGATGGTTTCATGATTTTTCTAGGAAGAGGAAGAGGCATAGTGGCTCAGATTGTTTGGTTATCTTTTTTGAAGCTTGAAAACATCCTTTTTGCGATTATAAAAGCAAAAGATAGGCAATTTCAAAAATTATTAAAAGTTCGTCAAAATAATCTTTTTTTCTGCTATTTTTTTGCATGCTGAAACGAATTCTCAGAAATTGGACCCGGATAAAAACTGTTTAGGATCACACGGCTACTTCTTTCAGGTAACCATCTAGTAGGTTTTTGCAGTTGTTATCTGAACGATTAAAGCGTAAAGGGAACCTTCTTACTCTGAAAGAAAAGGGCTCTGTTTTTAGGAAGAGAAGAGGAGAAGACCAATGAGCATGTTCTTGTCGATGACTCTATTTTAGAAATAAAAATAACACACAATCTTGAGCAAGAAGATAAAAAATTTAGTCTTCTTAGTTAGCATAACAAACTCTTAATGGAGATGGTTTTGAAAATAAAGTTAAAAACCGTTTTCCTCGGGTTGTCTTACAAAAACATGAATAAAGACAAGAGTTTATGTCTAAGAAACGCAGCATCTTTGAACATCACGCACCGTGTATAACGTTAATCTACAATTTTCTTCTACAGTAAAGATGTCACAACAACTTTCATGGGTTTTTCTTAGTCTCGAAAGACAAACAAAACTAAAGTAAACCGAAAAGAAGTTGAGGTGTAAATTTCAACTCGTTGAGTAGATAGATTAAGCCTATCTTAGATCGTTTGTTGGTGCTATTGCTATAATATCTATTTAATTTCAGTCTGATATTCTTCTAATAGAAGAAAATTAACTAAATAATACGTTGAGAGGCAACAGTTGAGAGAAAAATATATATATACACAATGAAACACACTCAATGGCTTTCACAGATTGTGTGCGCGTGTATAGTACAATATAATAGAAAATATAACTAACCACATTAGTACAAATATCCACAGTACTAAATTTCAATATTTTTTATCGTTAGGTTACAGTAGATTAACAATCCACTATTTTTGAAGCTAATAGTTTCATAAACTATTTCCACATTGGACTCTTGACTTAAGTACATATTTGCATAATCCATAAATATAGAGTAATGTTCAAAATTTGATTAATAAGTTCGTTATAGAGTCTAATAGTTATATTTTTCAGTGATAATTGAATTCAATCGATAACACGTTATAAATATTATTGTACAATATCATTTGAAATTATTATTCTTCTCTTAATGAAAAAACCAAATTCTAATATAGGTAATAATGTATCTGACACATTAAAGTAGTTATGAATATTGTGTATAATATTTCCTGCAGGCTACTATTTGAGTTTTAGTTGTGATATTGATTCCAAATTGGAAAATAATCTTTTTAGAAGACATATGGTTACTAATCTAACCAATTAGAATAAGATATGTGTGAATTATCTTGTTTTTTCGTAATATTGAAGTACTGAAAGATAAAATATGGGAAAATTAAGAGTAACAATAATATTGAGTTATTGATATCTCTTACTACCGTTAACATATATTGAATTTTGTTATATATTTTCTTTTCAGAATTCACGATATTGAAAAATAAATTTCTTCTTGATGGCTATACGATTTATCTGCATATCACACAATGTTTAGTAAATAATCTGATAAATATTGCCTTATTATACTTTATGTTTGAATGGATGTTTGAACAGGTATTTGTGGATCACTAAGATGTAAACGTCTCATTAATTTTAACCAAAATGTTTGAAATGCATTTTCACGATAAAAATTTGCATATAATAAAATAATGATAACTAAAACCATAAAAATAATTCCTCCAACATACCATGAATCAATCGATGAAATTGGTTCACGTTGTGTAGTTGTACTAATTGTAGAATTTATTGTCAATAGGGCCTGTACCATTATTTACTTGTTAGGCCAAAATTTAAAAAATAAATGTCATTATCATCATTTTTCAATCTATTTTTATTTTAATATTTTTCTACATGTAATCGTAATTTATTTTTCCTAATATTCTTACTTTTTTCTTACATACGAATGAAATGAACAAAAAAAAATTTATCTATACTCTAAGTAAGATGTTTACCATAGACTCGATCCTCTTTACTTCTTTTGTGTTCTTTCGTTTTACTTATTCAATTACATATTGTAATACGTTAATAAAAGACAAAACTCACACCGGCTGCTAGTTTTATAGACAAGAGAGAACGAAAAGAACGAAAAGAGAAGAATAAGATTTTTTTTTTCCAATGGTTATCTATTCTAGTTTTGCATATAAAGAAATATTTATCCAAAATACTATTTATATATATTTTCTTATCATTAATTTGCAATCAAGTTTACACGAGAGAATTTATTACTATGCTCAATCAAATACATTTATTGCTATTAACTCATAGTTTTGCATATTGAATTTATTTTTTTAAGTTTAACAAAAGTTTTCTAATATTTTTTTTTCTATTACATGTATTCCAGAAATATATATGGAAAGGCGAAAATATACGTGAAAAAACACAGTGTGCACTATAAATATTATGTTCTTACAAAATTATTTTGATTATAAAACAAAATAAAGCTTTTATTAAATATTGATTATATAGAAGAAATTCTCCTTATTATTAGCTTTTTTCGTTCTACTCCGCTGCACTTTTCCGTGTCGACTACTTGCACCAGTCTCAGATTTCGTACTATAGTACTTGATTAAAGATGAAAGACCGTTATATTGTAAGGGTAAGAACTGAACTGATGAGTAAAAGAGATTAAGTACTTTCAAGAAATATAAGTTGATCAACCAAAAAACAATCGCTCGGCTTTTCCACAAACGATTCGAGACCACGCATTATTTTCACGTCATCTAATGTTGGATCATTTCGTTGTGCTGTACGCTGTTTGAGTAAATAATTATAAACTTTTTCAAATGTTTCTTCTCCAAGTGTTCTCATTGCTTTTCTAGAATTATCATTATTTCGAATGTTAAAGAATGTAGACTAGAGCTTTTTTTTTGAAGATAACAACAATTAAGATAATCAAAAGAAAAAAGGATACGTTCGAAGGTTATTGATTTTTTTATCTTTTGCTACCGGTCCATAGGCATCATGTAATGGATTGTCTCTCAACGTTAGATTAGCTAAAAAAAGAAAAGAAATACTAACATTTGAGTAACATAGTGTTTTAGATACATACTATCGTCAAGTTTACTCATTCTCGATGGCGTAGCCCTTCCGTTCGATCTATCATCTACTGGTGGATCAGCGGACGGTATGTTCGATTTCTGTCCAATTGTTCTAGAAAGTGATAAATAATTTGATGATTTTGTTGGACTTATTCGTCGTTGTCTTGGATTTATTGTACGACTTAACGAATTTGTTGAACGTTGTAATGCAGACATTGTTCGTTGTGTGCGATCCAAACGACTATCACCATCGGTACTACGAATTTGATCACGAGTTGGACTTATATCAGATGGTTCATAATCTGGATGTTTTAGGGTTCCATCTGGATTGAAATCTGTCTCGGTTATTTGTGTATAATCTCGTCTCAATGGTACTATCGGTCGCTCATCACTCGAGTATGGTTTACTTGGACTTTGATGAATCGTATTGCGATTGTAAGATGTTGCCGGTCGATTGTCTAAATGGATGAAATAAAAGTTTCAATATCAAAATTAGAAATCATCTATGATACGCAAAAATTACAAAGCCGAACCAGTGAAACAGAAATCAGAGAGAGTTAATGCACTCACAAAACTTTGAGATATTCAGACTACTAATTAATTTTTTTTGGTTTACGACGTTTCTTTCGATTAACGATTTTCTTCGATTTTTACAAACATTGTTGACAGTAATAAAATTTATCAGAGCAAGAACTAGACATGGAGGATAACAAGGTATGTTTGTAACAATAACAGTGCTCTACGATAAGAACGCACTGATTTATACAAGGAGAAACTTTTATATGACATGTTGTGATAATTATATTTAGTTTATATTGAAATAAAATGGTACGTATTTTGTATAATATGTTTGACTACAGAGAATACAATAGAGTATATATGATCCACTCAAAAAGAGAAACAACTAAATAACTAAGGTTATATAATCTTACTACATGAAAAATCGCATCTTTCACGCTCTTTTCTGATCTTATCCAAAAATGACATTTTTCTTTTATGAGATAATTAATCTCCATAGTCATGTGACATGATACTTAACGATATATGTAACTTATTCTGTACAGAAATGTGATGTATGTGATGAGTGATTAATTAGTCATATGATAGATCTAGATCTACTGTGCAATAAACGTATACGACCGTACCCTCTTCTTCTTTGCCCAGCTAATTACAAGCTCTCCGTTATCCATAATAGTCCAGATTTGAGAAAAAGATGGAATGAAATCTACAAATGTGGAACATAACGCATCTACAGTTATCTTTCAGATGTCTGATTTAATTATCGTATAATAACTTCTGAAATATAAGCATAATTTCACAAAACTATTAACTAATTGTGGTAGTTCATCGTCACCTGACGCATAACAGCATATAGTCGCCTCGGTACAGACTAAGAGAGCGTTTAATCATCTATTATGAAATAATGAATCTCGATTGTTGTTACATGTGCTAGTTATTAAGTACAAGTGCATGCGGTAGATAGGTTTATTTAATTAACTGAACTATCAATACGTTAAGAAATGTCATGAACAGAGGTGGCACAGGAGAGAGTATCGCGAAAAACAAGTGATCTAAATCTGCTTTCGTTCAACTCAATTGGCTTAAAAATCTCAGACAGAATAACGAAAGTAAAAATACATTTTTAAAGTATTAATTACGAGTCAATAGAACTAGGTGACGATATGTACTCAGATTTTTGATCATGAAACAGAAAACTTTTTACCTGATTTGTTTTGAGACGATTTATTCTTTTCAATTATCTGAGCTGCTTCGTGCATATTTAACCGACTTGCCTGTCTTAAATGAATTAGTTTTGTCATGATTGATAGTTATATATAGTTGAGGTTTTAACATACGAATATTTTTGTACTTTAGTGTCCATATCTCTCTTAAGTTCTAATGATTGTTGTCTCAGATTTATTTCATCATCAACATCGGTGTCATGATCCCTATTGTCAACCTTTATTTCACTGCTAACAGCTGTATTATCGTCTTCTTCCTCCAGCAGTTGATCATTTGCCGGTATAAACCAATTTTGTTTTTGCATTTCGAGTACAGTTAAATTTTGAGCACTATAATATCAGGACATCACACAATTTGACGTTAATGTACAACAAAGGAACAATTCTAGGTACATACAACATAGAAGCGAGTTCTTTTGAACGTAATTTGCCCACAATTGTATTCTCTAAAGGACCGGTCATTTTCATGCGCTAATAGAAAATAACGAAAATATTTTTATCAAGGATTTATCTTTAGCAGAGGCAAACAATGAAGTATGAAATATCTCTATGATCTCTCAAATTTCTTTTAGTTATATTTATCATATTTTTCAAAATATTTTGAACCAGATTGTAAAATCTTACTTCACGGTGTTTTTGAATGAAATTCGATTTTAGTAAGGCAGTTGCACTTGGTCTCATTGCAGGATCTTTGATAAACATTCTACAAAATGAAAATGATAAATTTTGTATTTTTATCAACTAGAATATTTCCCCTGACTGAAAGTCTAGGATAATAACAGAAGAATTGTCCGCGTCTGGTTGACAAAAAAATTTTCATTTATCATTCACCATTTAACTTAAAATTTAGGTATATTTTTATTGAAGGAATCAGTATTGCGTACATTTGAAGTTGAATATCATTACTACATATATGAGAAAAGAGAATTTTATATATCGAATGATGATGACTCATCGAACTATTGTGTTAGACTTCGTGTACTTTATTGGTATTAACGTATACAACTTCATTGAATGAAGGTCTGAAATTTCAAAAAGGATTTCATTCATTTGCTTTTTATCTTGAGTACAGCACTTAGTGCCTTATTTCTCACCACTACCACAATTCGCCAAACTTTGAAAGGAGAACATATTTTGAGAAAGTTCTGAAAACTTTGGGATGAGGACCATTCGATTCAAATTTTTTTTGTTAACTTTATTTATAACAGGCTGTTTTTGTATCTGAATTTATTCTGAATTTTGCTGCGATGGTACATCGTTTGACGATTTTGTTCAATTCTAATATTTCAGAAAGAAAAAAAAGAATTAACTTCCACATTTTGAAATTATTTTTACTTATGTATGACTAGTCAATATTTGAGATAAAATTCTATATCTTTTCTTTTTAGAATAATAAATAATTCAATAATTATCACGGTACGCTTTATCGATAGACTATCAGTTGTTAATCCTAAAAAAGAATCATGATCGGAAAATATTTCTACGATTCTGTATTGTCAATTCAGTCATTTTCGTGGAAGATTAATCTGAAATCACTTTTGGAGTTCAAAGAAGTTTTATCATGGTTAAACTCTTTGAAAAATGTTTTCAAAATGAGTTATAAATTAAATGAAGCTAGTTCTTTCAGTTAAGGGTCTGTGAATCGCAGATGCATGTTAATTTTTAATTTAAGCTTTTATTTACTACTTTTTCAACACATCATTGAGTTCTTTTGAATATGTTGTTGGTAATTCTGGTGGTTTTCCTTCAACGACTTTGTATATAACATTCATTAAACCTTTACCATCAAAGGCATGTTGGAACGTACACATTTCGTATAAAAGACAACCTACAGACCTTAAAGGACAAACATAACTCAAAATAAAAATTTTAGTCTTTTCTTATATATATTGAGATTAAAAGTACACGAACCATATGTCAGACTTTGAAGTATAACCATCATGTTTCATAACTTCAGGTGACATGAAATATCTGAAATTCAAGTTGAATTAGCAATGAATTTCAAATGATCCGAACGAAACATGTCCTTACGGTGTGCCAGTAAATGTTGTAGCCTGATCCATAGTTCCTACTAATATTCGACTAATACCGAAATCTCCAATTTTGATTTGATCAGATTTGAGAAATATATTCCTGTAACAAAAGCAGATTTTATTTAAGCCTTATTCTTCCAGCATAAAAGCGGAAATTTAAATCGTCGATAAATACAACATCAATTTTATACAAATAAGAACTTGAACACATGAACTTATGTTTGTAGAAAACAACAAAACCAACCCAGGTCGATCGTTCCGGCCGCTGGAACCGACCGATTTCGTTGTATTCCGTCGTCGTTCCGGTCGTTTCCTTTATGTTCTGGTGTGTTCCTACCACCGGATTCCGTCGGGTTTCCGGTTCGGAAAACTCCTACGACTTTTTCGACTGGAACCAATCGGAAACAGAACGAAACCAGCCGCAGGAACAGTCAGCTGGAATCCAGTTGCAAGGAACATGCCGGAACAGAAAAGCAACCGGCCGGGCAAGAATGACCTGGGAAGTTTACCGTTTCTAGTCTATATGCTCGACAACGATTGAAGTTGAAAGTAAATCTAAATTTTTTTAACAATACTTTTTATTCAAACCTTGTTTTTAAATCTCGATGTAATATGTTAGATTTATGCATGTGTTGAACAGCTAATAAAATTTGTAGAAGCCATTCTACCACTTGATCTTCTGACAATTGTTTATTTTGCTTTTTGAGTTCTTTTATTTTTATATCGAGATCGCCGCCCTAGATCGAAAATAAAAATAAAAATAAAATTGACTGCAGCCATAAGCACAAAGTTATTTATGTTACCTCACAATATTCTGTCAATATACATACGGAATCATTTTCCAAAAAACTTCCATGAAACTACAGAAAATAAAAATGAAGAAATCTGACTCTTTTCACAGTAGAACTCTTTACTTTAACAATATGTTCATTATTTAATTTTGCTAAAAGTTGAGCTTCTCGAACTGAATCAACGGTATCAGATGGATCCATTTCACCCAAAGGAATAACTTTGAGCACTTTGTGAACCCTATGAAAAAAAAGGTCGAATGAAAGGAAATATCATGTTGTTTTTTTAAATGTAACTTACTCCTCATTTTTTGCTTTAAGATCTGAGACAAGATACGCTGTTCCGAAATTACCCGCACCGAGTTTCTTGATAACTTTATAACGTTTTAAGAAAATTTGAGGTACGTCACTTTCCGTCATTTATAGAAATATTTGATTTATTTCTAGAACCACAAAATGTCTGTTCTAGAATAAAAGAATTTTAAAAAAGCTTAAAATGATTAAAATATCTGTAGATTGTCTAACCAAAACAGTCCATAGTATAGTTAAAATATTCAACATTTTTATAAATATTGCATCAAACAAATAAATTATGAGACTAAAACTTATTTTAATAAGAATTTAATAGTAAAAATACATAACACTGTTTTTTAACGATATAAATAGAAAGTTTAGTTCAGAGAAAAAGTGCACAATTAAAAATAAAATAAATCTAAATACTTTAGACAGTATGTGTGTGTATGTGTGTAAGTATATTTCGTATAAATAAAACTTCAGTTTAAGAAATTACTGTGTGGTTTAATTCATTCAATAATTCATTTAAAACTAATTCATTGATTAAAGTGCATGCATATTCATTTGAACTTATATCATTTAAACCGGAAATAACCTTTTCATCATCTAATTCTGGATTTTCACGTTGTTCTTCACGTTGTTCATGGAGATAATTGTAAATTTTTGTAAAATTTTGTTCTCCAACCAATTCCTTCGATTTACTAGGCAAAATAATACAATCGGATAGGTAAATAGAAATATTAAGATCTATTTAATAAAAGATACCTTCGATAAAAGTCTGTTTTAGTTTCTTTTGCTTTCGCATTAAATGCATCAAATGAGGCATCAGAACATGGTACCACTATGATGATCAAGATATTTGTTAAATAATAATCCGTGTATAAAAATTAGAATATACCTGGTAGAGGAGTTGCATCATCGAGCGAGTCAGATGATGGAGCAGGTGATAATGAGTTTAGTGACAATACTTGTGGTGATAAATGGTTTTTTAGTAATGGACTATTACTATATGAGCGTCGAAGAACTTGAACATGTAAATCATTGGAAGATCCTACAAGGGAAATATCAAATAAACTTTAATTTATTTTGATGTTTGCTAATTTTTCATTTACTTGAGACTAAATCAGGTGTCAGTGATTCTGTTGCAAGTTTTTGTGTGTGTGGACGAATGTCAAACTAATAAAAATAATAAATTATCTATCGAAGTTAGATGAATATATTATGCGTGTTGTATACTTTTTGAAATTCACTCAAAAGTTCTGAGGCCGTTGGTCGTAGTGAGGGCTCTTTTGATAACATTCTAAATAAATTTTAAAAAAAATTGAAGATTTTGAAGAAATGAATTTATTTCTCTCTTGCATTACTTAGTATATAAATTTTGAATATTTGACGAAAATCGTTGTGGTAAAGACGGAATAGGATCACATAAAATTGCTTGCATCGTCTGTAATATATTTCGTCGTTCAAATACCTTTTTACATGTCGCCATTTCATAAAAAACACATCCAAGAGACCTATAATTTAAAAAACAAAAATTCAATATGAAGCAATTGTGTTTTGTATTTCTCGATTCACGAACCAAATATCTGACTTTGCATTATAACCCTCGTAACGTAAAACTTCTGGAGACATGTAGAATGGAGTACCAATGAATGTCGATGCTTTATCGAGCGTATTAATCATTAGTCGACTAATTCCAAAATCACCAAGTTTAACTTGATTTCGTTTTAAAAATATATTACTGGAAGGAAAAATATAGATAAATAACTAATTCATGTCAGAAAATTCTATGGGCTCAGATTACCTAGTTTTAAGATCTCGATGTAAAATTTTTTTCTCGTGTAAATACTCAACAGCACTCAATAATTGAATAAAAAAATCTAAAAATTGATCTAAGTCGAGTCTTATTCGATTTTTTCGTAATGTTTTCAAACACTTTTCCATGTCGCCATCCTTCAAAAGAACTTAAATAAATGTGATATAAATATACGGATATATAACTGTAATACTCTTTAATACATACCTCACAGTAATCGGTGACAATGCAAAAGTAAGATGAATCTACGAAACTATCATAAAATCGAACAATGTTTGGATGACGAAGATGAGATAATAATTGAGCTTCTCGTTGAGCGTCAAGTGATTCTTCTTGTGGTACGTCTCCAACAAATACAGCTTTCAACACTTTACTAAAAACGTAGAGTTAATAATTGTTCAAATAGTTACAGAATTTTACTATCAAAAATATTTTACCGCTCATGTTTTGATTTTGTATCGTGGACTAAATAAGCAGTACCAAAGCTTCCTTTACCAAGCTTCTTCATTTGCTGATAACGATTAGCATACATAACACAACCATCGTCTACAAACGCAGGAGTACACATCTAAAGTAAGAAAAACATTACAAGTTCAGTACAGTTTAAAACTTCCTGGGATTCTAGCTTTTTCCTTTTCATTTCGCTAACAATATAATGACAGAAAATGTAGTTTTAAGGATCTCCAAGAACTAGAAATAGCGGCAGCGGTAGTTTTGGCTCTTACATTAAATATTTTTACACCCCACTAGCTATGACTGTTTCAGAAAATGTTGTAACAGTCTCCATTTATTTAAAGTCTCCAGGTGCCGCCATCGGCTATGAATAAGTAAGTCAATAAATGCCAACACACCAATTTATAAAGCTATTTTAAAACAGAAGCAGTTTTAAAAAGTTTCTTGCTACTGTTTAGTTTTTGGTTTCTTCTAAGAACTTCTTAAAAGATTATTTGGTAAAACAATAGGGAAACATTTTTTAGAAGTATCTCGACCCGAAATTTGTTGCGCACAAGGTTCTGAAAGATTCAAATCTGCAGTCTGTTTCGACCAAACCAACTTTCAAAATCTCTTGTCTTGTTCAGGTTGATATAATGTTTCGTAGCCTAAGTGTAACTTTTAAACAGTTTGATAGCTTTAAGTTGGCTATAATCCTCCTTGTGACTCATAGGATATACAATTTCACATATAAATTCATATTAATCATTCGTTTCAGGTAACCATTACACTAATCGTTAACATGGCATTAACTTCAGAAAAAAACCCTAAAGTCGACAGAGAGCGCTATGTTACATCCACTATTGAACGTTACAGCACAAATCGATTTTTCTCCATTATTTATATAAAACGTGGATTTAGAATTAAATTTATATGTATAGCTTACATTTTACATATTTTATGTTGCAAGTTTTAGACATGGATGAAGATCTGAACAGAAAGGAACGGTGCTTTTTTATTATCGAAATGAAAAAGATTAAATTTTCTATTCTAGCATGAATAGGGATGTTACAAATAATGAACATCTGGTGGTAAAGACTCTACTAGTGTTTTTCATGATATTTTAGTGATTCGACATCTTGATCTTTTCCAAAATAAATATCTCCTAAGTTATTATAAGCTTATCCTAGATAAGGATGACTAGATGCTACTTTAGCCACAGGTTGAACAGTCTACATCTACACTGAAACATTTGATGATGTAATAAAAATTATTGATAAAATATATCAAAAATAATATATTACAATCGGCAACAATCCAGAAAGAGTGAACTTGGTCTAGATCTATGAAGATGGGACGCCGTTAGGCACTACGTTTCATGGGCAAGCGATCATCACGCATCCCGCTTGTAATGAGAAGACAACAGGCTAGAGACTGTACAAACGGAAAACACAGGTAACACTACAACTAATCGTGTCATACTCGCCATCAGGTGGACGTTCCTGAACAAAGTCAGAAGTGTGACGTCCCATGAGAAAATGCTCCTCACAAAAACTTTTTTCTCAAAACTTTTCGCCTGAGGGAACAAGTTTTTAAAAAAACCGAAAAGAGAAATTGAAATAAAAGTGTATCAGATGTCCGAAGAAGAGGTAGTAATTGTTATGTGTCGTTGAGTTCTCGTTGATCGATGGAAGCGTTTGTTGTTCGCTTGGATCATGACTGTATTTGCGAAGCTACTCGATTACTTTGAGTTCGATATATTTCCTTAGTTAAATCTTTCAACTGTGGTGTTATATATACAGTTATGAGTGCGATGAATGTCAAACATATCGATGTCATTATTGCACATATTTCATAGGTAAACTGATGGAGATGGCCAACTATTAACCCATATACAATAAAAATAATAGTTGGAAATCGTAGTAAAATTAAGATAGAGACTAGAATCACGATACGCTTGATTACAGTCACATCTCTTAGGTGCTGTCGTCGTCGTGTTATTGTTGATGAAAGATGCATATACTTCGTTATCCAAAAATACATGACAGTAGTGGAAACTAATGGACCCAAATAGAGTATTCCGATGAGATAAAACGAGGCGCGAATGTCTGTGTAGGGAATAAGACAATATTGTTCACCAGGCAGCTGAGCATACCGATTTATGAAGATTGTTGGTAATAAAACGAAAAATGTGAGTAGCCATTGACCAGACACTAAGACAATGTACAAAGAATACCGAAAAAGAAGTTTCTTCTTATAGTATACGACTCGACAAAGTCGATAGAATGCCTGTAAACAGTAAGAATAATATATTGAACATTCGAAAACGTCATAGAGAAGACCCCATATGTAGCAGAACTCGATATCCTGGACTAGGAATGATCCAAATAGATTCGAGCTCGTCATTATACAAACGGCAAGACAAGTGAGAAGGGCGGCTAAACAAGCGTTACATGTTAATAAGATCGATATATCTTTTCGAAATTGTTGCCGATGTTTGAAAATAATAACCAATATTGATGTATAGATTAGAATACAAATAGAAATAGTGCAGAAAACAACTATCCCAATGATTGTGGCAGGCAACAACGTCGAGCAATGCTTTATTCGAAAGACCATCAAAAACTAAACAATCAGGTGCGCCTTCTCTTCTTCTAAACTCAATACTGATGTTGTAAAAGGTTCATCAAGTGAAGGATTATAATTTTCACATATAAATTTATATGACATCCAAACAGAATTTTCCTAGGAATATGAAGGTGACATCAGATAGGAAATTCAATTTTCTGCAAACCGAGCTAAAAAACTTTATTTTAAAATCTCTGGAACAGTTTGAAATGTTGATAAAAAGACTGCCAACTGGCATCGTTTTTTCAGTTTTTCGACATTTTTGGCATCAAGACTTCATCCTAAAACAAAAAGAAGGTCATATTTGGAATCGACGTCAAAAACTGCACATCACAATATGCCTTTGAAGTCATTTAGAGACAAAACGTTTTGCAGTAAAAATTAATTGGATTTGGTAAATGAAAATCGAGTCACAGTACCCTTTACTGAATTTAAAACTGTAAAATCATTTTTCTTTTGGCAGACTGCGGCTGACTGGAATGCACTACTAACTGAGTCCCTAGCTGCTGCATCAAACGTACGCCTGTTCAAATTTGGTTTACGCTCTATGCTACAGTGTACTTATAAAACAGTCTGGATATATTGTTTTACTCTTTTTCATTTTTATACGTATTCAAACTCATTGTTACTTTCATTCTGCTTATATAAAATAAATATTTAAGAGATACAATATCGCCTTCACAAGTACCCATTGACACAGGTTGGTGATTTCTAGGGATGTTACGAACCCGAACCTACGTTCGAAGTTCGGCTTCGAACTCGAACTTAAGTTCGAATTCGCAAAGTTCGGGTTCGGAAGTTCGAGTTTAAAGTAACGTTAACGCAGATTTAACAGCAAGGTTGGCTAGACACGGCTCGTAGAACATGCCTGGAGCTTTTTTGATACTACAAGCTTTGAGCGGATATAGTTTCTCACCTTCTACTCCCAGTTTCATGGTGCTTAATGAATTAGTGTTGCTTCTAGGAATCAGTGTCTCACATAGGCTGCAACTTGCAATAGTGGGTCTTTTTCAAAACAATCTGGGTTAATCTATATGATTATAATATTTAACCTTTTAAGATATTCTACATTTTTAGTCTATGATATATGGCAGTCTTATATCAAACATTTATTTCTCCCTCATCGAGCAAACGTCCAGTTTAGACATGGTCGGCACCGTCCCGACGGACCGGGACCAAACACTAGAACTAGAATGAGCTTCGACAGTTGCATAAAATCAGCTAAAACTTGATCTGTTCTCTATACTAAAACAGAAACGTTGTGAAAAATCGTCAGGAAGTCTCAGGAAGTCCTTGGTCACGCCCATGTATAGTCCAGTTTGAGAAATTTTTTCCTCGTCCTTTTAAGCACAAATGTACTGTCTTTTTGAACAATTGTGACACATCTTTTGAATACACGTGTTCTTAACACATCCATATCAGAACAACAGAAATCTATCTTATTCACGCTTTTGCTTGTAGCAAAAATCTCCTTGAATTTCCAGTATCTTAGAAAATTGCCGTTGAAATTCGATAAATAATTTTCTAGAAAGTAGAAATTTCTTTTTGATTATCTATAAACTGGAAGTGGGTCTGCTCCGAGTGATGGCACGACCAGGTTCTATGGGAGTTAACCTCGCTCATGCTTTTCAGAAATTTCTGGTGGTCCGAGCACGGTCCGATTTTCGAACCTTGCCACCAAAACTTCGCCCCACCACTGTCTCTGCCTACATCAAAACTCTTGCTCTTGCAAAGAGAGAGAGAAACCATTATGTTACATCCCACATAACAACTTATGGACTAGCACATGGTCTAACTGCTAGGACATAACAATCTCTAGTAAATAATTGAACGTAAACAAAGTAGAAACGTAGAGAGGTTCTGAAAGTATCCCTCTACTTCGAAAGTGTTTTAGGCACAGTCGTTATAGCTGAGTTGCTAGTGCGCAGAGTAGGATGAGCAAGCGGTAATGTTTCTGGTGCCATACTAAACGCCTTTTCATATTATTTCAATGCTTTCTCATAATCACCTTGTTTGCGATGAACTTCCCCGATGTTATTATATGTAGTTGCAATAGATAGGTGATTTGGTGGAAGTGAAATGGATTTAATTTCAAGAGATTTCTCATAATATTTCAGATAAAAATGGGCTGTATGCCCTAAAGTGACTGTCTTAACTGTATCTGCATGTCCGCACAGACTGCAGGCATAAACGGCATGCAATTTTTAATTGCTGCTTTTGTCCTACTGCAGTGGCTGTTCGTTTCCATCGAGACGTTCCATATAGTCTGCCAAATTCTCCATGTCGGATGCCTCATCTACCCGAATGAGTTCCGCTATATATGTCGGTAATACATCGTCATTACTATTGCCATCTTCGTGTGAAAGCTATGAAGCGGATTGCTGATGTTCGTTTTGGTCCTGCTCCATCACCATCATTTTTGATGCACAGTCGTTATAGCTGAGTCGCTAGTGCGCGGAGTAGGATGAGCAAGCAGCAATGTTTCTCGTGCCATACTAAGCGCCTTTTCATACTATTTCAATGCTTTCTCATAATCACCTTGATTGTCATAAACTAGTCTCATGTTATTATATGTTGTTGCAATAGATGGGTGATTTGGTGGAAGTGAAATCAATTTAATTTCAAGACCTTTCTCATAATATTTCGATGCTTTCTCATAATCACCTTGATTACGATGAACTTCCCCGATGTTATTATATGTTGTTGCAATATCAGGGTGAGTTTTATTTTTAAATAAAACGAAACGCGTCGCAATAAGCAACAATTTTATTTTCTATGGTATCATGAACAATATTATAAACAAGCAATATACTTATATATAAAATACAAAATCTAGTATAATTCATGAAGAACAGCTTATTGCAGCTAAACAACGATATGAAATAACAAAAGATATTTAAAGTTATAAACGGTCAACACGAAGAAAAGCTTGCTGTTCTTTACATGAACATGAAAAATTAAACAATGATACTGATTCTGATTGATTTAATTTCATGAAGAATAAAATATATACCCGTAAGTTTCGTTTGTTTTTTCATTCTATATTCTTTTTTCGTTCTTGATTACTAATTAAATTTATTATCTTTTTTGGATTACAAGAATTTCACATTTTTCGTTTTATATATATATATATGTAAAAACAACGACGCCATATCGATTGAGAACGATTTGAAACTGTGCACTCTTGAAGGAGAACAATATTTTATAATCTATCTCAAAGGAGAACATATTCAACTGCTGCACTCTCGAATGAGAACAATTTATAAACTTATTCTTAAAGGAGAACATTTTCAAATAGTATACTCTAGAAGGAGAACAATCGTTTGCACATAATCTCAAATGAGAACATTTTTATTATTATGGTCAGAATTCTCTATAATCTTTTGTGCCCGCGACTCACCATCTCATGAATGGCACCTTCGTACTGATGTGGTACTGGTGAAATGTCATCTCCAACTTTTCGCTTTAAATCCCGTACTAGTGGATGCTCAACCTTGACTTCTTCATGTGCATGGTTCCCACGTTCCACTAAAACTGCTAACGTCGTTGCTAATTTTACGCGTACGAAGGCGATAACGATACGTTTTATACAATAACGACTTATGACCATCTTTACTAGTATCTTCAGTCGCATATGATAATGACAGTTTTTGTTTCTCGATAATCAGTCTGATCAGTCGAATATTTTGATGTGCCAACGAAACAAGATTACCCAATTATATTAGCCAATGTTTTGACAAACTGTTATTTGGGAACAACCAATAACATTGTTCAACAATGTCAGCTGTATTCGGCAGGAATATGAAGTTGTTTGCCATAATTATACACATGTATTTTAAAAACCTAATCCGAAAATTTATGATTTGTCAACCAATAGCATTTCCAGAATATATATTGCCGAAAGAATGTGAAACTGGTAATAAACAAGTGAACGGTTAGATTGTGAATAATACTGACTAGTGTGAAACCTAAACTATGGTTGAGTAAGAAACATAATGAACTATCGCTCATGTAAAATGTATGTTGACATTGTTATCGAAAAAAAATTATTATGGTAAGACGAAGTTTAATGAATGGATCTGGAAGAATACTTCTCATTTATTCAGAAATTGTATCTACGTGATTTTTACACAGACAATAATTACCAACAAAAAGGATGGCAGCCGAATACTTTAAGTGAAGTCGATGATTGCTTTGTTCTTGTCAGCCAAGATGAATATGCTCTAAATGTCATTTTTGGAATACTCATCGACTTTATTGGCATCAATGCTTTGAAAAGAACATCTATGTCATCTAATTCTTACATCAAATCCCGTTGGAAATCTATATAAAATTTCCTTTAGATATTGATCTTTATGAACTTAATTAATCTTCTTTTATTCCGGTACCGTTTTTGTTTCAAGTTTATCGTGCAAACTTTTAATTTCCTTTTTCATATTATCATTCTTTTGTATTAGTACTGGTACGTGTTCACAATTCATATTGATATTAGAATGAGCGACAATCAGTAACTCAATGATGAAAAACAAATGTAGATCAGTATAAAATTTAAGCCCGAAAGACCTAGTAACGCTGGATGACTAATAGATTTTAAAAGCATATACTGACAGAAAACTCACCGTTCTCTCAGTTGCGTTCTGAAATCAACTAAACAAGAGTGAGCAAATCACTTTCTGAGAAAAGTGCACGGTTTTTGAAGAAATTGAGACAAAACTAACACAAAGAGAAGAACTGATCGAAAAGAAAAGACAAATCACATCTGCACGGATAATGAAACATAACCCACGAATTTGCATAAGCAAGTGTATTTGATTTTGGACTAAATTGTGCAAAGTAAATGCATGAGTTTTAATTTCTCATTCTATGCAACCTGTGATGTTTGTGTTCGTCTCTTTCTCACTCTTTATATATCTTGGACAAGCCAAACATCCCGTTTTCTCTGTGCGTGAGCCAAGAGCGAATAGATTCAGAGTACGGTAACGTGGCGTCGTACACAAAGCAGAAAGGCTGCACATGGGTGTGATATGGAAGAGATTTTAATACTCAAACAAAAGTAGAAGAGTAGACGAAAATATTGAGCAAATGGAAATGATCAATGAATAAATCAAAAATGAACATGAAAAATATGAGATAAATGCTTAGAAAACTGCATGATCAGTAAATGAGATTACAAAAAGAAGATTTATCGGAAAAATTCATTCTCATTTCACACAATTAAAATTAAAAGTATTATCACAGATAGAAAAACAGCTCATTTCATTCAAAATACCCGTCATTCACTGTCAAAAGTTATATTTTAAAAGAGAACATCGGAAAAAATTCATGTTTCGAGGTGACAACATTGATGTCGAAGCAAAGCAATAAGTAGATGATAATTAAATATGTCTTGTTACTACATCCATTTTCTCTCAAAATTAAAATTAAATGACTGTCGATTAGGTGCATGAGGAGAGTATGTTCCCGGGCCTGGTTGATCGACATTTGTTAAATCACCCGTCCATCGACTTGTACTAGAAACAAATGCTGCTGAACTCATGTATTTCTTTTCTAAATCTTTGAAATCGCGAATATTGTCTAAAATATTCGAATATTACGTAAATTATACATAAATATACTAAGTATGCGATAACAAGAACTACATACAAGCGCCTGGACCAGGTAAAGGTATCTCAGGAGGCGGAGGCACAGCAGGAGCACTGATTGCTAAATAATGGCGTCGTCTATGTAAAGAACAATGTCAGCAATAACGAAGTTCAACACTAGTCACCGTATAATCAACACCTACGGTAATAACTGTCGTACGACTTCTTCTTTTAATGGTTCAAATGGGCAATAAGCTCCAGGTCCAGGATGCTTCAAAAACGAAAACATTATGTTTGCAAGTGTCTTATATAGATATTATGCTCGATATACCTCCTTGTCAGAGTGCGTAGCGAAAGCGTCACGTTTGGATGTGGATTTGAAACTGGATTGTAAGATAGGGGCCGATAAATGTGTCATTCTATCATCAAGATCATATGCACCTAAAAGCATTTTTTTTTACTATTTTATAACAAAAATCTACAAAAGTTTTGAATTTTTACCCGGTGCTGGTGTATCCATAGTTTTAATCGTGGCATTTGCACGTTTTGTTTTTGAACGAAATGCAGCAGTTGCTGTGACATTATTTGTCTTATTTACCGTTTTTAATCCTTGAAAAACCTTAACAAATAGTATACTGATTAATACTAGTTTCTACTTAGCATGCGTCATATAGCTTACATCATATTGGTTGGGCGCTGGTACAGATGACTTTGATGATGATACTCGTTCAGCAATTGGTTTTTGAAACATACTAGAATATTTCCGACTAAAATCGTGTCGTTGTCCAATATTTCCTGCAATATTGTACGTGCCAGGTGACGGTGCACTGTTACTTGAGCCAAAATTACGCCGATGACTCTAAAAATAAAAGCGTCAAGAAAGGTAAAGCTAAATGGGAGTAGAGAGAGAAGAATAAGATCTTCAATTTGGAAAAAAGGAGTTACTTTTGCGGCAAGTCCACCAGAACCCAATTTTGAATCTGACGGTTTTGTCAGTTGGTGTTGTAAAGTATTTGCTGGCTGATAACTACCAGGTCCGGGTCGATCATTCTAAATACAAAGCAGCTTAGATTGGTATATAGGCGGTTTTTTGTTTCAAGTTCGAGTCATTTACAACATCATATTGAAATCGTTTGGCAGTTTGCTGGAATCCATGTTTGTCACCATTGCTAGAGATGATAGTTAAATATCTGGAAGGAATTGATGGTGTACCAGATGCACATATGGTGAAACCTACGAAAATAAGGAAAAAAGAATAATTCAGTTGCATTCTACAATAATTCAACTATCGGAGTGCATCTATTTTGTGCAATTATCTAGGAATCGTAAACGAATAGCAGTTACTTTTTCAAAACTCAAATACAAACAAGTAAATAACGTACCATCTATTCAAAACTAACAAAAAACTTGAAACACGGACTTTAATTTGTAATATAAAATTGAGCTTATCACAGTCTTTGTCCACAATTCAGATTACTGACGGCAAGCTAGGAAGTTTTGCTTCCAATGCTACTTCGTGCAGACAAGAAGCGTTTCTAATATTGACAATTTTAAAAAGAAGAAGCCCCCATTTAATTAGGTATGCTTGCGTAAGAGTGAGACAAAAACTCGCGAAAATATGTTCGGAGTTTAAATTTATTTTAACTTTTTGTGTACACACGTCTCTATTTGACAATATATTAGTATTAGTATTCATCATCATTCATTCATCATTTTTCTTTTATTTTACATCTTTAAAAACTCAATAGCACATTCAAACACTCAAATGAAAAGATATCAATACTAATATACTCTTTGTCAAATAGATACGTGTGTATACAAAAAGTTAAAATAATTTAAACTCTGAACGTATTTTGGTGATTCGTGGTGTTCGCAGTTTGGTCTTTCTTACTCAGACAATTCGTTTAATTATTTCTCTCCTCTAGTACATCAATGATATTGTATGTACAATAAGAAAGATAAATAAATTTAACAACTAATGTTACTTACCATCATCCTCTAAAAATTGAAGTATTGAACAAAAATAAAACAATTAGAAACAGAAAAATATATCAGAAAGTCAATAAAATAGTCATTTCTTGTCTAATCATACCTCGATGAAGTTTGGTCAAAGCAGACTTTTGTCTCTTCTCTTTGGACAACGGTTCCACCTTAACGATGCTGTCTGTGGCCGTGACAGTCATTCATAAAAAATATCTAAAATGAAAAATTATTTTATGAATAGATAAAGAATCATCATCAATACGAGAGTTCGTAAGTTCAAGAGGAGATAATGCAAAAACAACTTATAATAAAAATGAAATTTATTTAATATCAAATGGATTCTTTTCCTTTTTTGCACAATCATCTATCGATTGTTCCCAATGAACACCATCAAAATCAATATATTTAATACTCTTAATTGTTGACGAATCAATACAATGAGGCATAATACCATAACAATCAGGATTACTACGCGGACGATAAAAACATTGCACACCACATTTTTTGCAAAACATATGCTTTGCTTGATGAGTATTGAATGTATACGTAGTCAACATATCGTCTCCAGTTAACAATGAAAAATATCGTGATGGTATAATAAAATGGTTATTCTGTTTTTTAATACATATACTACAATTACAGCGAAATACCGTCAAATTTTCACTTGCAAATACCTGAAATTGAACTGAACCACAATGACAACTTCCAAGATGTTTTACAAAATCGTCTTCGACAGTTTTTTCAACGCTCAACGACATTACTTATTAATGATATCTAAAAAAATGAAATTGATTAAGCATAGAAAAAAAGAAAGAAATACAAGTCTCATTTGAAAATATTAACTATAGACAATTGATCAGAATTTTTCTTTCTCTTCTTCTTATGTACTTAATAATTATGCAAACAGATAGCAAAAACTAAAGTTTAACGGAAAACAGGTTGATTCAAAAAGTGCATTAACGTTCAAAGAGTATCTTGTGACTTTCTTAGTATAGATAAACTCTGTTGAAGGTTGTAGTAAATAAATTTTACAAATAAAATACGAAAAAATGACAAGAAAACACATGTTCCTTTATGTATATTTTTACTAAGGAATAAAATTAATCAAACTAAGACAAATTTTTCCACAATTTCAATCAAACTCATAAACTTTATCGATCTTTCTTAAATAAAATCAAAATAAACAAACCTATAATTATTTTTAAAAAAAAAATAAATTTTTCAAATTATTTATTTTTTTCTGCTTCTCGTTCTTCTTTTTTGATTCGTTTGGCTGCTCGTCGATCTGCCCATATTTGAAGATCCATTTTTTTCATATGATCCATAAAATTAACACCAAAGCCTTTATCAAAATAATTCGTTATATCATAATAATCTCCATCCGGTGCATCATAATTGGGATTTGGCAAACTATATAATGGACCACGTCTTATGAATGGAATTAATTTATTATCGATCTATAAAATTAAAAAAATTTTTAATTTCTACGATTAGTTTAACAAGAACAAATGTATCTACTTGAAGAGCTTGTTCGTATAATATTTTATTTTCTTTTTTCAATTGTTCAAGTGCATCTTCTTGAGATTTCATCGCTCGTGATATCAATGTTATCTCTTGTTGATGTTGTTTATATTTATATTTTGCCCAATCACGATTCAACATTAAACGTTGTGTTGTCTCTTCAGATGTCAATTCTACTTGTGGACGAGTTCTGATACTATAATAAGATAAAAATAGAAACAGGTTGAATAGATTAGATGAATATACGTACTCGAGTTCTTTCATTATTCGACGTTCTGGTTCATATTCATGAATTGGTTTTAATTGTTGTTTAAATTTTTCTAATCGTTTAATAACTCGTTCAACACGTTTACGTTTTCGTTCGTCACGAAGTTTATCTAACAATGGATCGAGTTTTTTCTTTGCTTTTTGTGGTTCACCATTTAATATCGACGTTAGATGAATAGATAAAATCGGTGACACCGAAAAGTGTCGATTTATAATGGGAAATGTTGATGAAATACATTTCCTAATAAACGAAAAAAAAACAAAATATATGCTAAAATAGTTAAAAAGAATCCATCCAGTACAACTTGCCTTAAAGTCACTTGTTTCAGTAAACATGTTAATGAGTGAATACTATTCGACGATAAGATATTTATACTCATTTCTGTATTATCTAGAGAAATATATTCAAATCAAATGCTAAAGAAGACTAATCATTTTGAACACACCTAGAGAAATCAGTGGTGAATCGCTTTACACCTCTATTCATCTTCAAAGGAACAGTGCAATGTTCATACATTTGATGGAAGAAACCATTCTGTCTCAGTATAAGAGCTATTTTCGCTCATAAGGTATAGATGACACAAGGAACAGCCTACAGTCTGACAGCCGGAAAGATCAGATTCATTTTCACCTGCATTAAACACATTCAATGTAGCGATTCCGAAATTTCTTCTATATTATGCGACTCAAGTTAACAATAAAAAATAATTCAGTTGTCACCCTCAAAAATGGGCAGTTTTCTTAACATGAAAGCAAATGTTAGAAATCACCTAAACTAATCCGCACATTTTTATCATAGCTTTCGAACACAAAAAATTGATAGATCACGTTGAATGATTGAAATAAAAAACATATCTTATCGAGCGACCAGAAATTCAACTGCTACATGGTGACGCGGCATCCATCCCGGACATAATAAGATAACTCGGAAAAACTGGTGAGAAAAAGCGACGTCTCACATTTGAGAACTTAATTACATCTACCTTCCGATGAACCTAATCTCAAATGATAATTTTCTTGTTTGTATGATCTAATATTTCAGTAAAAGTCTACATCATAGTAGCTACTGTTTCCACCTAAAAGGAAATATAACTCAATATCTTTACCACTATCCAGGTAGTAAAAAGCGAAACTGTTCAATTAATCCATTATCTGTAGACGTTTGCGCCAAAATTGTGTCTAACCTACTCATCTCGACCCTTAACAACCAAGTTCAATAGTGAGACTATACATGAGTGGTCGAAAAGCTGAACCAGTGGAATAAATACTAAGATTGACATAAAGAAGGGCGCCCTCTATCGCGACAGGTTCTGGTTTTAGAGGATAAACCGTTTTTTTCTGTAAGTTGTTTCATTCCGCTAATCAAATCATCTTTTCTTTCTTTTTGTATTTTCTTTATTAGAGGAAGATATATCGATATATTTCAGACATGTTTAAAACTATTGTTTTTTATCGTTGGCACTGAAATCCTGCTGCTTTTTTCAGTTCAATTGAATACCATAACCACATACATCTTTTGATGCTTTGGCGCTACTTTCTACACTGCATAGTTCATCAAAAAATTTAATTCAGTGGTCAAATATTTAGACCATCAATTCTAGTTTAACTATTCGATAAACTAGAATTGATGGTCTAAATATTTACTTGGGATATATACAAATAACGTCTCAAAACAAGGATACCAGCATTTTATCGTTATTATAGGTCAATACCTTGTAGTAAGTTGGTCTCTTCTGGGATGTCTTCTTTTACATATTTTTATTAAATGTCATAATTACATATCGGATATAAGAGAATATAATGAAAAAGTGAAGCAGATAGACCTGATTTAGAACCTGTAATTAGAAGATTTCAGAAATAATTTCTCATCCGAATTTAATCGTCAGAATTTTTTTCTTCTTTTTGTTAGATCTCTATGATACGTAATCAGCATTATTTCAATGGAAACTGTATACTTTTTATTCTCTCACTATTATAGAGATCGAATAGTTCTTCTATTTTGTAGATAATCAATTTAGAATATATAGATCAAAAGAAGGAAAACAAATATTATCATCAATGTCAACATAGAATAAAAATGTTCCCATTGACATCCAATATTATTGAGTTATCGTACAAATCTGCCATTAAATATATAAAAAGACTATCCGAAGTTTTATCCAATCAGACTGGCTATTTTATCGCAAGGTGATATTTTTATTCGAATAAATTTTGAACAAGTGGATAATGTATCCAGCATAGTTAAACATATGAAAGCAGATGAATCATTGATATGAAGATGAGATTATTTATTATGTTGTTATCAAACATGAATCTCTATTTGAAAGTAAATAATTGAATTGAAAGTAATAATCTAACCTTTTGTAGCCCGTCAAATTTATCTTTATTCTGTTATAATAAATGCTATTGATGAGAAGGTTTTTCTGTCATTCAGTTCATACTTCTGAGAGTATTTTTCTGATATTTTAACGATTTTAATGAACTGTTCATTTTTATTTTAGATGAAATTGTTTGTTAAGTGATATGCACTCATATCTTGGTCGTTGGCCAACAGTGGTCACAAGATTTCTTAATTTTAATGCAGTCCGATTAGTGTAAGTTGATTGAAAAACTGTCATCGCTCTTTCGAATAAGAAATTCTTTTTGTGTTCGTCTCTTTTAGAGCAAATATTAGTTTAAATACAGCTTCTAAGAAATTTGATTCGATTGAAAATGAAAAAATACGACGAGAAGAAGATTATGAATATGAATATAAAGATCAGCTTGATATATTGAGAAGACATGAACGTTTAACTGTTGATTCCACAAATCCACAATATATGACCGCTGTATTCAATGGTGAATTTAATCGTGATATATTAACTTATCCAGAATTATTAACAAAAACAGAGTCAATTGAGATGAACAAACTGAGTGAATGTTTAAAAACGTTTACCAATAAAATTGATAGAAAAAAAATTGAAAGAGAAAATCATATCGATAAAGATATAGTGAAAGAAATGAAAAAATTAAAATTATTCTCTCTAGTTATTCCGGAAGAATTCGGTATGATCAGTCTTGAACCGTAATAAAAAAAATAGTATGAAAAACTTTTCTGTTGTAGATGGTTTAAACCTTAACAGTCAGTTATCTATCCGGATATTTGAAGAATTAGCCGTTAACCCAACAATCACAACAATGCTGTTAGTTCATACGGAATATGCAGTAAGAAGTAAGTACAATATAAACTTTTGTGATAACGAATTTTAATATTGTATTACATGATAGGTATTCTACTCTACGGCACGAATAATCAACAGCGTTATTATTTACCAGATTTGGCGAGTGGAGAATTAGTGGGTACAGCATGTATCACTGAAGCTCATTGTGGTAGTGATATACGAGCGATTGAAACCACTGCCAAACCTAAAAAACATGATGAGAAAATATACGTTTTAAATGGAAAGAAAATGTGGATAACGAATGGTGAAAATGCGGGTTTATTTCTTGTTTATTGTAAAACAAATGACAAAATAACACATAAAGACTACGATGACCGTTTTTCATTTTTTCTTGTTCATCGTGATATGGACGGTGTTAAAATTTCACCAACAATCTCTACATTAGGCTTACGTGGTCTTGGTTTAACACATATTGAATTTGAAAATGTTGAAATAGATTCAACGCAACATTTAATTGGTCAATTGGGTGAAGGATTGAATATTCTAAGAAATTTACATGGCTATGTGCGAACAACATTGTCTGGTATGTTGCCTGATATACTAGTTTTGAATGATTGAATGAAGAATATTGTTTTTTATCTTTATCAGGCATGTGCGTAGGTGTAGTGAAAAAGTTGACTGAATTAACTGTTGAACGTTGTATTAAACGTGAATCATTTGATCGGAAATTAATCGACAATGGTCTGATTCAAAAGAAATTATTTCAGATAGAATTGGATACATACGGAATGGAATCAATGACATATTTAACAAGTGGAATATTAGATTCATTTTCAATGCCCATTATTTCAATTGAGTCGGCTATTACGAAAATATTTTCAACCGATAAATTATATCGTATTGCAACTGATTGTTTAGAAATCTATGGCGTAGAAGGTATTGAAATTGGTCATCCAATTGAACAATATTTACGTGATATAAGACCATGGTCGATGTTTGATGCACCTAATGATGTACTGAGATTATTAACAGCTTGGGAAGGTGTTACAAATGTCAGTTCGAAGTTAAGTGATTATGTAAAAAAAATACGTAATCCATTCGATTTTCCTGCTTTGACTATAGCAAATGTTTTATATGAATTGAAAGAGAAGGCAGAAATATGGCGAGTACCATTTACGTTTAAACATGATCTGTGGAAATGTGTACATCCGTCTCTTGGTGTACCATCAAAGGACTTGGAATATGCCATATTTGTGTTACGAAACACAACGAAACAAGCTGTAGTTAAATCTGGAAGAGATATCATAGACAATCAATTCTATCTGAGACGTTTAGCAGAAATTGCTATAGAAATTTATGGGATGACGGCTATGTTGGGGCGTGCATCGAGATCATATTCAGTCGGACTGAAGGTAGATAATTTAATTTTTTTGTAAGATTTTCGATAATCAAACTGATTTATCTCTTTTTTTTCCATATTTAGAACTGTGACCACGAAAAGGCACTAACGTTTTCCTATTGTACACACGCTAGAGAGCATGTAACGCAATTAGAGAACGAAATAAACCAAAAAGAACATTCACTTGGTGATGAACATATGCAACATATAGCAAAACGAATGTTAAAAGCGAAAGGTTATACTGTGACAACACCGTTAGAAAGAAATTATTAAGAAAATATCAGTTTTTTGTTTCATTATTTCTGAATGAAGTTTGATAGACCTTTTGTTCAAAAATGTGTGTGTGTGTAGGAAATAATTGTGTTATTTTCTTTTCAAAGACGTTTCTTTTTTTCTCTTTATCTTGTTTTCAACTAATGTCACGATTTTTTTTTAGTATCTATTTTTGTGTGTATATGTGCGCTTTTATTTGTAGGAAATGAAGTAGCATATCTTGCCTCTTATACTTGATCAGAGCTTTTTCTGATGATTTGACTTAGATCAAGTCAGTTATTGAAATTGTATGCTGTGTAGAGGATGGCTAATTTTGCATGTACATCTGATAATCTGTTTTCATTTTAGATCAATTATCGTCTTTTATCTATTTTTTGTTTCTCGTTTTTTGCATAAAATGGGGCGATTGACACCTGAAATCATAGAAGGTAGTCCACAATATTTGAATCCGGTTGGTCAATATGAATTGAGTTTAAGAGGTAAGTGCTAGCAATGGATTTATGTAAAAAGTACTATTTAATAAATAATTATTTCTTTAGATTTAAAAATACCGGTTATAGAAAATCTTGGTTGTACGCTGAATCAATTTGATACAATTGATTTTACAAACAATGATCTTAGAAAATTAGTAAGTCTTATATACTTATACAGCAGTGCAAAAAAGTAGAAACGTTCCTATAACTCAAGAACTATGATAGCTAGTGACTTTAGCACTCACCAAATACTAATCACCCAGGAAGTATAGGTCTCTTTTACTGGATAGTTCGTGAAATATAAGTGCTTCATTTCTCTCCCTAAGATGCTGATAACTCCAAGACAAATGAAAATTTTCTTTTTTGTCAAAATGAAGGTTAACTATTGTATGATTCCGGAAATTCGTTAAGCATGAGTAAACATTATTGAAACGTGCGTAGAGACATGAGTGAAAATTGAATGTATAACCTTTTTCAGAAATTTTCACCTACGTTTTTTGGAACCATAGGTTTTCATGATTATAATATACATTGACTGTAAATTCTACAGTAGTTCCACAAGCTTGTGTCCTCAAGCACATTTCAATAATGTCTGCTCAGTCTCAGTAGATTTTTGGAACCATAATTTGACTAAATAGTGTACGGCTACCATAGAGTATTGGATGGGGGTCTAAAGTCATAAAAGATGTTTCTAGGCTAAATTATGAATTTTTTGAACACTTTAAATTCATACCATGGATAGAGGAGCATCAGATCTACATTATCGATCTACATTAAACCACAGATCTACATTATAAAAGAAAATTTCATTTCTCTTGGATTAGGAGTTATCAGCATCTTACAGAAGAGAAATGAAGCGCTTCTATCTCATGAACTATCCAATAAAAGAGGCCTATACTTGCTGAGTGATTAGTAATTGGCGAGTGCTAATGACCAAAGTCACTGGTTATCATAGTTTTTGAGTTATGGAGACGTTACTGGTTTTGTGAAGCATTCTATTTCCATTGACACTTTCTTTCAGTGCGCATTTTTCTTTTTTTAGGATGGCTTTCCATATTTACCAAAATTAAAGACATTATATTTCGGAAATTGTAAAATAAGGTACGTATTTTCGACTTTCATAACGAGACGCTTTATCATTAAGTTTAAATTTAATAATTTGAACAGAGAGTTAGATATGTCAAAGCATTGTAAGCAAGTGTAGGCAGTTCTAACAAATATACTAGCTTAATTCTATTTCTTCAAATGTCTTCAGCGAAATTGTGTGTCTTATAGTCCATCAAAAAAAAAAGAACGATATATGAATGTTTTTTGAATAACTCGAAGAGCTAGACGGACGCGGCTTTCATCAATAATCTACCATACTTCAGAATATAAGAAAATACTTGAGACGAGGTGTCCTTGACTTCTCGATGTGAAAAAAGACAGTTGTGATTCATATCGAAGAACGGGATTTCCAGAGATCTTCTGAAAAAGCTGAGATAATAATAGTTCATATTTGGTGACGTAGCCGTCTTTGACTATCAGACTTCAGTCTTTTCTTATAGTTTGAAGTATGTTGGATGAAAAATTGCAGAGTTATCACATTTTTATGGTAGGAGGGTCAAGGCTCGAAACCTCACTTTTCGAAAACTCATCCTTTGAACTTCCTTCAACTCTGGAAATAAAGCAAACGAAATTTGCTACAAGATTCAGAACGGTCGACAGCCTGTGGTTTATGTGTTTTTTTGAGACTCCAAACTCAAAGAAATGAGAGTCCTGGGACTTGGGGGAAAACCTCAATTCCGGCCGAACCACTGATTTCAAGATCTCGCTTAGATCTCATTTTGAAGAAAACACTTTTTTTCTATCTACTGATGAAAAAATATGAATAGTTTGCTATTTTAAATTTTCGACTTATGCAGAAGTTTGCCAAAGATCATTCGAAAACGCGTTTTTGAAAAGCTATCCGAAAACCTTTCCACTTGCAAAAAGATGCTGAATAAGTTCATTCTTCTTTCGGTTGGTGAAAATTGCGCCTCTCTAGCTCTTTCCATTTTCAAGTTATTCAGAAAACATCCATATATCATTCTTCTTTTTTTAGAAGGACATTAATTACAATAGTCGAAAATCTAAAATTTCTAAAACTAAAATTCTGATTTTTTAAAGTTTTTTTTTCTCTTTAGTCGAATTGTTGAGGGTCTTCATCAATATATTCCAAATTTAGATACAATTATATTATCAAATAACAACATCCAAGAATTAAGTGATATTGATCCATTGGCATCGTTAACAAAACTAACACATATAAGGTAATTAAAAAGTACAATTTCAAACAAAATGACAAAAAGAGCAAGTGAGTATTGGTTTTAGTTTTTCAATTGATATTGATGTAAATAAATTGTTGTCATTAACAACGACTAAGGTATGTTAGCAAATTCTTTGAAGAAATAAAAGGCGGTCTCATGATGTATTTATGAAAATTTGTATTAACGTTTACTTATATTAATATTTAATTTTTTTGTTTTAGTTTAACACGTAATCCGATTGCCATGAAAAAAGATTATCGTCTATATGTAATACATACATTGCCAAATATTCGAACACTTGATTTTAATCGTATTCGTTTAAAGGTAATGTTATTGTCTCAAAATATAAAATAAAATATTATCAATTGATTTTTGTTTTGTTTTTGCCAGGAAAAAGAAGCTGCACGAAAAATGTTTAAAACCAAAAGCAAAGAAGCTGCAAAAAATAAAAATAAATCAAAAACATTTGTTCCTGGAGAAGGTTTAGATGGTAAACCACAACAACAAACATCACAAACACCGAAAATTAGCAAAAAAGATACAGAAGCAATTAAAGTAATATGATATAGAATAAATCTATTGTTCAATTATCTATAACAGAATTTAGTGATTGCATTAATTATTACATTCTGTTATAAATCATTTCTTTTCAATTCTTTAAATATTAATCACTCTATTATGTTGACATTGTTTAGAAAGCAATTTTGGAGGCTAAAAGTTTTGAAGAAGTTGAGAAATTAAAAGCAATTTTACAATCAGGTCAAATACCATCGGAATTAACTGGCGAAAAACAAAATGGGCATGGTGATGAAACAATGGAACAAGATGAAGAAGAAAATCAACAACAACAGCAAGATGACGAAAAACAACAATCAGTGGGTAAGTAATTAACTTTCTTTTCCAACATACATCATCAAAACTAATTGCTGTTTTCTTTAAGGTAATGCGATGGAAGTATGAAGTTCAAGCAATTTAGTCATATCATGCATCAAATTTATTATGAGAATTTGCTGCTTTTATACACGTGTTCATTTAAAACATTTTTTTTTTGTTCAAAACAGGATCCTTTGTCGTTTGTTCTTTATTTTTGTCGTTTATATTGTTGTTTGCTGGTGTTTTATAAAAGTTGAAAAAAAAAATCGTATCTATCTTTTACTATGTGTAAATAAAAGAAGTGCGATTTATTAAAGCTACGGGTAAAAAGTTTATTATAGAGGGATGATTAGATAGTTAGCCAAAGAAAATTTATCTAGTTAAGTTGTTCAAATGTTTCAAACAAGAATACACTTCTATTCGTATCATCCTTATGTAATCAAATCCTAATGAATGCCGACAAATGGCTGATTGTATTATAAACTGAAATATATATCTGAGATAAACAATTGCTTTTTTCTCACAGATCTTGTTTTGTCTGAAAATCTGCGATAATTTTCTTCTGTTAAAAAATACTATCTCCTCATTAGTTTGAGAAATATTTTCTCTTAGTGAAATATTTAATTAAATGAGAATGTCTCTGAAACGCTTGTAATCGAACCATTTGATGTAGACTAACACAAAAAGAATGAAACGCCTACTCATCTACTGAAGAGAGAGTCAAAGATGACATGTCTAGTTAGTTCAACAAAATTCATTGAATAAAAAACGATCGTTTAATGACCATAATTAAAATTTGTCTTATTAATCATTCTAAAATAAAAAATATCAATATTATTGCTCCGAATACAAACTGATATTTACTTCGTTCAAAATTATCTGTATAAGTATAGTGCAGTAGTTGATCTAATTAATTACAATTTAAATGAGGGACAGTTATATAAATTCGTTTGGCTGTCTGTACATCGAAAAACCCTCTAATCTAAAACCCTCTAATTCTAGGAAAATATTTAAAAATATAGGATAAAGAATAGCAAGTTGTGTAATGCTGATTTATCATCATAATCTGATATCTACACTGCAATAGTCTTTATTATTTAACAACAAATGATTTTCATAGTAAAATAGAATATTAATTTACCATAACGCTGGATACAAGAATTTTAGGTACCATTTATATGCAATGGTACAAGACAGATTAGTCAAAAAGAATCAAATTTTGGTTAGGATAAAAATAGGTATCCTAACAACCAGGCATTGGCGAGTCCGGGGGAGGACCGAGTCCGGCAATCTTTTAGATTTTTTTTTTGATGAAGGTGGTTTATATTCTAATTTGCTGAGCTCTGGATAAATATTTGATTTTTTGAAAATAAGGTTACATTCCATGTCCGTCTCTCGAGCAAAATTTTCAATTTCATGTGAAACAGTAGATGTTGTTATTTCGCTTTTCATTTTTCTCTGCTCATCTGTGTTAAAAGTTGAATAGATCGGACTCGAAATACAAAAACTCAAGTCCAAGTCCTTCAAAAAGATCTCCAGTCCGAGTCCACCAAAAATCTTCCAGTCAAGACTAGGACTCGCCCATGCCTGCTAACAACTAACTTCAAGAACGTCTGGCATTGTGTTGCATCTCATATGATAATATCAATTTTTTTTTAAAGTTACCCTAAGTTACATTGATGAAGCCGATCATTTCTGGTCAGCAATAATTGAAAATGAAAGAATAAAAGCGTATTATGTATTAATTATTTGTCTTTTTCGAAGGTGATGAACGTCAATTATGATTGATTATATCTCGTAAATATTTCTTCTATTCTTTTAGTTATTTTTGATTTAACTTCTGTTTACACTCTTCGTTATTGGCATCAGCTAAAAAATATTTTATTAAAAAAATACAAAAACGGAAAGATCAACAATCAATCAAAAACAAAATAGATATGCAAATCTACTGTTCTAATTCTATTCTAATTTTTCACCTAAATGTTTTCGATGTAATTCTTCACATTTAACTTTTAATTTAGCAAATTCTGCTTGAATATTATCTGTGATTGCTTTTCGGATTTCTTGCTAAAATCAAACAAAAGTAAAATATTAATGAATAGTAGAATGATACTCATACAACATACTAATGAACAATTGTCCTTTTTCATTTTCTGTATTAAATCTTCAAAATGCAATGGTTCTCCAACGTACACGCTCACTTTCTGACGTATGTGTGGAATATATGGTGTACGATTAGGTAGAACAGAATCCATTCCTGAATAGAGAACAACAGAGAATTTTAACGTTCCTGACATGATACCTAGAACACATACCTAAATGATAGAAAGGTATTACTAACGGACAATTTTGAGCTTCGGCTATCAATCGGCCAACACCTGTGAAGCAAAATAAAATTTATATACCAAATTTGTATGTGAAATTTCTGTTTTACTGGTATAGTTACCCCATTTTAATCTGATTAGTTCTTTGCTCAAATTCACTTTTCCTGAAATAAATAAACTAATCAATCATTTTATATAAACTCAGCAAAAACTAAAATACCTTCGGGAAATATATGTACCCATTCATTTTGATTAAGTTGCTCAATTGCAAAATCCATTGAACGTTGATGTACTCCGTCTCCGCGAACGATTGGAATTGTTTTACCCAGACTAAAAAATGTCTGATCACGTCTAGTTGTAAATACAATATCATCGGCTCCAAGATTCCATCTCATTTTACTTCGATTAAAAAACGCACGAAGTGGCAATGAACCTCCTAAAATGAAAATAAACATAATAAAATCAATAAGTATGTATATTTTTGTTTAATGTTTGCGATAAGCAGCGATGAAACAGTATGATAGATATATGAAGTGCAAAGAAAATCGAATTCTCATAGCGTACAGAGTACCGAAAATATAGACAAAAACTATAGTAGGTAGAAAGAAAAAGAAGAAAATTCTTTGAAAAAGGCTAAAGCACAAAACTTGCCAAAAAGTAGCGGATCATCCATACATGAGTGATGATTGGCAACGGTCACTAATGCAGTGTTTGGATCACGTTTGAGAACCGCATTCACAAGAATTTCTCCATTTTGAATATGGAATGAATTTAATCCTTCTAAAAACAGACAATCAAATAGAATCAGAACACTAAATTGTCGATAATTTAATAGCTACTTACTTATCCAAATTTTACTCAGTGTGCCTTAAATAAAAAACTAACAAGTTTTATTAAATATAAAACGGACTATGTCTTTTTTAAATTATCCTACCCACTAAACTAATCGTAAATGTAGAAACTACCTTGTACACCGGACCAGATTTTTCTGGAAAAGGCCAGTCAAAATTGATTGGCATGATTGAAAACACATTCACACGAATAAATTGTATAAATAGCTTTTTTGTTTCGAGTAATGATGAACAATTCAAAAATATCTAAAGGAAAGAAATAGAGGATAAAAAATCAAATAGTATTCTAAGTATTTTAACAAAAATAATGAAAATATCATTAGTGTACATGTTACGTCTTCTGCAAACTTCGAGAATCCATTCAGAGATACGGCACTATAGTGTTTATTTATAACATTAAGAATAGCTACATTATTTATCTTTTATGATAAATTTCATGTAACACTATATCAAAAGAAATAAGATTTAACGATTTGTAGTATGTGTAAAATGTCAAACGATATAATAATTGTACTAACAGAACCAAATGAGCGTCGATTTATTTTTTAAATAGAATTTATTAGCCAGCAAGAAAAGCTATTTTTCATTCGAATTAACGTTCATCTCATCGTTTCAATAATGACATTGTAAAAGAAAAGCCTAAAATTTTATTCAAAATCAACAAACTTTTGATTTTTATCAACATAAACGTAAGTAATCTGAGTAAAAAAAAATCAATAAATCACAACTAGTTTGATAAAAAAAGATCAAGCAAAAAAATGTATTAAGAAAGCGAAAAAACTAATAATAATAAAATCATTGGAATGAATGAAAAAATAAGTGTGAATGATGAGTTAAAGAGAATGAAAGTATAGAAATCTTAACAAAATAAAAAACTGTAATGCACTATTTTCTTGAATGGCGATATTCTATTTTAACAATAGATGATAAAATGAGATGAAAGACAACAATGGTTGTGCGACATCAAAAGTCTGCCTCATTCGTTTTTTTAACAAAGAAGAAATAACAATAAATGAAATAAAAGATCATGTAGGAGAACATCAGAACAACTAGTGTAAAACACAGAAACAAAAAATAAGATTTTGGGTTTAAATATCACAACATATAGTCACTAGAAAAGCTGAAAATGAATAAAAGTATCAGTCATTGTGTATTTTCTTAAAATTCAGATTTAATTTCTTCCTTAACCTCTTTTAATGTATCCACTACACTATCTTTAATATCCGTTACTTTATCAACAACAGCCTCCTTTAATGATCTGAAGGATAATAAAATATTTTGACGATGATTCAATTCTTGTTTTTTCTCGGTTGTAATCTAAATAGTCAAAAAAACTTGGTAGAATTGGTCAAGGTGAAAAACAAATACTTCTGACAATAATAAAAAAATTCTTTCTTGATATCTCATGCACTGAGTTAAAACGTTTGTTTTATTGTCGATGAGAACGCCAGTTTATTGTTAACATAGGAAATGAGGAGTAGTAGCAACTGAGTAGAGCCAAAAGGAATGGAAGTAAAACGATAACGTTATAAATGAACTCGTGAAAAGTACTTAGACTACAATGATCATTTCCTGTACAAAATTTTGTTAATGAGACGCTGCTGTCTGTATTTACGTTCTGTCATTCTCAGATGAGCCAGTTTTCGTTATTTTGAGCGAATAACGGGATAGTAGTGATACATTATAAAGGCAGAACCCTATCACATATATTCGTGCAATTAACAGTTCATCTCATGAGTTCATATATAGTGTCATCATTTTCCTTCCACTTTCTCTTGGCTCTACTCAGCTGCTAATTCTCCTCATTTCTTATATTAACAAGAAAATTGGTGTCACCTGTCGTCGTCCCGATATTTAGCCGGTGATCAGAGAAAAAGCCTTCAATTGCTGTTTTTCTTTAATGTTTTGAAGA